AGTTACGTTTTTGGGGGAAATGGTGGAAGAATTCGGCCCGGTGACAGTTGATTCGCCTTTCATTGGTTCGTGATGGCTGAAGAGGCGGCGTATTGTTATGGCGTTACGAGAGGGTTCGATAACATTCTGGCATGAAAAGTAGGCTCGCTTTACGCTTGAAGGGCAACGTGAAGATAAAGCATGGGTATCTATTTATTTCATAATGTCTTTTCAAATTCTATTCTTACACTCGGCTGATCAGGTAGCATAGCCAGTCGCATAGAAACGAACAGGTTTGCCCATACCCAACCTTCCAGAGCGTAAGAAAGAGTATGCCTCCTAAAGAAGATGAATACAACTCCAATAAGCGCCACAAACACCGCTGGCTCAATTTCTAGGAGGTAGAAACTATGGCGCCTTGTAGGCACTAGGTTGTTGCCTGTTTTGCGGGCTGAGCTTTCTGTTTTTTTGGCTTCTTTTGTCGCTTCTGCTTCCTAAGCCTTTTCATATGCTTGTTCTCCTGGGGAAGATTGGGTTTCCCAGCTGGCAAATCGAGGGGTCGATTTTTCCGTTTCTTGCCTTTTCTCCGTGGGTTCGCAGTATCCTTGTTGACGTTGATATATTCCTCTGTAGTGGTAGCTGCTCCCACATCACCATCGACTTTATCATCTTCCTCTGCATCACATTCGCTAGCATCCTCGGCTTCCTCCTCTGCAGGGCGCTTTTGGGGGACAGATGCTGGTACAGCCGCAGCTGCAGCCGCAGCTTGTTTCTTAGCGAGCTGGGCTGCTCTTAACTGCGCCATAGCTCTCTCCTTAGCCTCCCGTTCAGCTCGCTCCAGATCAATCTTATCGTTTCCCGCCTTACGCCGCAGGAGAGTCAGCTCCAGTAACCCGAACATTTCATATATGAGACTCACGAGGCCATGTTTTATGAACCTGGACGCAGCTTGCTTATTAAGCGTCATTGTTGGTTTCTCTGGTGCTGTTTCTAAATCCTTTATCTTGGTAAAGTACTGCTTCACTCGGGTCAATTCTTTAAACACAGGGTGCTCTCTCGCATTTACGCCTTGTAGCCGCAAATATGCTGCACAATTGTTAGCTCTGTTCTAGACTAAAGCGGCACAGCCAAAAGTAGTATAAAGGGAATATACAGAAAAGCAAAGACTCAATCGTGTATGTGAGGAGCACATGTAGCTTTGCCTTGTCCATGACCGTCATTCTCTGCGTCGTTGCAGACAAGGCTTGCTTCAAAAGCGGCTCTAACACTTCCTCCAACTCATCAATATCGCCTTCCAGCTGGTCTATCAGCGGTGTCAAGTCTGTCGTCTCCATGGCTGCGTGGTTCTGCAAGAAGCAATCTGCCAACGCGTTCAACAGATAAAATAATGAAAACAGCTCGTGCTTTTTGGCGGGAACAACTCAAATGAGCCAAGTTGGAGCTAGGCCGAAGGCGGCTTGGTGTTGCGGCGGTAGTTAAAGACAGCCAATCAACGAAGACGCGGAAGCTCAACAACAACTTATTGCTTCGATGTTGCAGCGGACGGCGGCAGTGAGCGGACGAGTCGATTCTTCAGGTCAAAGCGAAGTCTGCCCCGAGAGATACCATGAAAACCTACTTTTAACCGGTTGCTTGTTTTACAATGGGCCTGAGGCTGAATACCCTCCAGCCGGCCCTGAGGTGGTCCCTTCGCCATCAGTCCGTACTTGAATTTTCTCGAAATCAGAGCCGGACCTTCATGGCTGAGGCCAAGAAGCAAATGGAGGTGCAGGACGAGGGCCCGATTCCCGAGCCACCTTCTCCCAACCCAATAACAAGGAGAATACATATACTGGGAACTGGAAACATCGGAAGCTTTATTGCACATTCCCTTGCGGCACTACCAAATAGGCCTCCAATGACTTTGCTTCTACATAAGCTTGAACATTACTTTGCATGGCATAAGCATGGAAAGCGTCTTACACTTGTGAAGAACGGAATTGCAGAACCAAGGGGTGGATTCGATGTCAACGTGCTTAGGGATGGCGTCTGGTATGAGCCATACAGGTCTGCCGAATTTGAGTCGAGTCAGGGCGGAAATGCCCGACCTATATCTCCACGGTGGGCAGACGAGCAGTTCCTCGATGTGAACAACGAGAGGATCGACAATCTTATTTTGGCGGTCAAAGCAACACAAGTCGAACAAGCTTTGAAATCTGTGGCTCACCGACTCACCCCTAAGTCAGCGATTGTCTTCATCCAGAATGGAATGGGCATTCGGGAAGAAGTCAATGAGAAGATTTTTCCGGATCCCGCTACCAGGCCGAATTATATCCAGGGAATCACGTCGCATGGATTATATTACACAAAGGCTTATCACATTACTCATGCCGGGGTTGGGACGTCTGCATTTAGTATCGTATACCCCGAACGACCGCAACCGCCCGTCGACGAGTCGAGAAACGTGAATCTTGGAGAGAAGTTTAGCGACAGGGATTACTGGGCTATTTCGTCCATCTACTTAACCAACACCCTAATCCGCTCGCCGGAACTGACAGCCATCCGAATCAATAAAAACGAAATGCTACAATTTCAACTCGAGAAGCTTGCCATAAACTGCGTGATCAACCCTCTTACTGCTCTGAACGACTGTAAAAACGGCGATCTTCTTTACAACTACAACCTCTCTCGAGTGCAAAGGCTGTTACTCATTGAGATCTCTACCGTGATCCGCGCCCTTCCCGAATTACAAGGCATACCTGGCGTTACGGCTCGGTTTGCACCTGAAAGATTACGCACTCTGGCAGTCAATGTTATGCACAAGACCGCAGAGAATACAAGTTCAATGCTACAGGACATGAACATAGGGAAAGAGACGGAAATCGAGTATATCAATGGGTATATCGTCCGTCGAGGGGAAGAGTTGGGAATCAAATGTGCTCTTAATTATATGCTGGTACAAATGGTGCTAGCAAAGACGAGAATGCTCTCGAGGAAGATGCAGGGCCACGTTCCCCTCGATCCCTCTGTGCCACGATGACGCATGCCTTTATGCCCGATGCCGTTTACTCCATGTCACTGGTAACTCTTCGTTTGCCTATGTGCATGATATCATCACGAGTCCAACGAATCCAACGCCGTTTGGCATATGTCTTCTATCTGTCTCCATCGCAAGGCAGTCACCGCCAAGGGGCCTCTCTCTCCGTATTTCCCGTCTGCAATCATCCCTTCGACTTTCGCGGCTCCCACTTTAGCCTCATGATGGTACTGGCGTATCCAAGAAGCGATGACGCGGTTTGTTTTTCTTTGATCAAAGCTGGGTGGCATACTGCCTACGATTAACATGCTCCAATCGTCCAGAGGCATATACATTATTGAAGCGGCGACTTCAGTACGAAAACACGGACCAGAGCGAGTGACTCTATAGTTTCTTAACCAATGTTAGGAAAACTATCTCTCTAGGGTGCTTGAATGTCAATTTACCCGAGGTAGTTATCTTCTTTGAGATACTGTCGTTTGACTTGGTCAACACCCTGGAGCACGATATCATCTAAGAATATGGCGTCCCATTTGTTTTGATCTGGTATAAATCCGTCTAGAAGGACATATCCCATGCGTTTAGCTATCGACGCCGTATCTTAGAAATACTCAGTTCAAACAACTTACAATCCATCCAAAGGACATCGTTAGTGTGATTTCCGTAGCACACGAGTATTTCTTCTCCTTTGGCTAGAGCATGTAGCCCGATTAGAACATCCTGAATTTAGTATGGGAGTTCAGCCCTTACCATAGGATTTTGTAGTTGTAAAGCTATACCCATCCTCATCAAAGGTCGCTTCGCACTGCATATTATCGAGAAAAATGTTAGAACACCTTGGCTCAGAGACCAATATATCTAGGAAATAGAGGAACGCAGTAGCTCACCCCAGGGTCATCGCACGAATGGTTAAAATAGTCAGCAAACGGACATAATGCCATCGCTTCGTTGCGATCTTCTGGCACTGCAGCGTTCTTGGCTACATAGAAGAAGCATCGCGTATGCGCTGCAAGCCAGTAATACGTAAACGCCTTCAGATCTATGCACGGATAGACTAGCTTCACATGCTTTAAAGCCCTCTGGAACCTGTCATACTGGTCATGAAAGAGACGCTGCTGGGTAGGGGAGTAGTCAGAGGGAACTTGATGAGAAGAGGGTATGGAATTCCAATAGCCCGACACAGATGGCGGTAATAGAGAGCAGAATCCTTTCTGCGGCGCATCCTCTCCATTTTCATGGGGCTGTTTGCTCTTTGTTCCTATAACATACTCTGGCCAAAGTAGCGGCATCGAAGCTTCAAAATCCTGCATGGTGGGCCATGTAGCCTGCCACAATGCGTACTTTGCTTTGGCCGCATCGTCGCAGGCTAGATAAGCTGCAAATATACCTTGGACGGGCGTATCGGCCTGGAATTTACTTTTAAATGCCGATGGTATATTGTCTAGTGTCAAAAGGCTAGAAGTTGGGACAGAGACGATTGTTTCTCCAGCCTAGGTTGGGTGACGCATATTAGCCGTTGAAGCAAAGACAGGAAAGCCATTGTGGTCTAAAAATAATGCTCATCACTTTCGGGTAGCTAAAGCAGAAAAAATTTATACGATCGGCTTAGATTGATATGCGGCACCGTACATCAATGTCCCTCAAGGCAGCAATCCCAATCCCTCGTCCCGCAAACGCCACCGCGGCTACGCCGCTGATCTGTATTCCTTGCGCTTTCGCCCATTTCGTAAATTCGTCATGTTCGGGGCCCGCGGGACGGAAATCGTGAACGGTCATTATGGCGTTCACACGGATTGTGTTGTGGACGAGGCGACCGGTGGTTGAATGTGGCGATTAGAGTCCAGATATCCCCATTGTTATCTGAGAGTCAATGCGGCCGGCGGGTGCCGACATGAGGAGACGCTGCAGCGTCAATGAGCATGGGTCTGTTCAGGCCCCAGGGCTTGAGAGCACAATCTGCAGAATTTCCTTCCAGCCACGGACTTTACGGAGTTATGAAGCGTGGCGCTAGTTATTTGTGATCGTTAACTAGCTAATACGGCGAGCGCAAAGACCAAGGATGCTCCGGGTGTGAACGGCCGGCGATCGTCCAATCTTCGAATGTTGTTGGTCTCAGGACGCAGTCCCACGCCAATCTGGCTCGAATAATAACTGCTGCTCAAAAATGGCGACACCTACGAGTGTAAGAATTGCCGGTTTTCGTTCTTTGCAGGCCCTATGCGCACAGCGGACCGTAACCCGCAACTTCTCCCTCCTCAATCGCCCTGCGCCAAACTATCCGGGCCACATACCTCTGACGCCTGTAGAACGGGGAGTTCTCGCAATTGGATCAGCTGTGGGATCGCTGCTAAACCCTAGACGAGGAGGTATTTTCCCCATTATTTTGCGGAAGAAAGTAGACATGGACGGGCTAAGCCATCACCACAGATCTAATCGCTACTCTCGGCGAAACCACCGCGACACCATTCTTCATCTACCGTCTCCGCGATGCCATGCTTTCCAACCCCACCGGTCGCCGGATCCTCCGTGATCGTCCTCGCATAACCTCCCAAACCTTATCCCTCCCTTACCTCCGCAGCCTGCCTCCGAACACCGTTGGATACACATACGCTGCCTGGCTTGACCGGGAGGGCGTCAGCCCAGATACCCGCAGCAGTGTGCAGTATATTGATGATGAAGAATGCGCTTATGTCATGCAACGGTATCGCGAGTGCCACGACTTCTACCATGCCGTAACGGGCCTGCCGATTATGGTGGAGGGCGAGATTGCACTGAAGGCGTTTGAATTTTTGAATACGTTGATTCCGATGACGGGGTTAAGTGTGTTTGCGGCGGTGAGATTGAAACCGGAAGAGCGGCAGAGGTTTTGGAGTATTCACCTACCTTGGGCTGTTCGAAGCGGGCTGGCGAGTAAAGAGTTGATCAATGTCTACTGGGAGGAACAGTTGGAAAGAGATGTGAACGAGCTACGGGAGGAGTTGAATATCGAGAAACCGCCGGATTTGAGGGACATCAGGAAGAAACTCAGAGAGCAAAAGAGGGCGGCAAGGAGGCAGCAATGAAAGCATAGAATTGAATGGCATATTGGATGTAAAATAGCCTGGCGTTATAAGGATGTTCATACATATCTGTCGTTTCCCTTTTCTCCGCTATGTAATGTTCGAAAGTAACTTTATCTCAAATTTATTCAAGAAGCCGTAGAATCGCATGTAGTCGTGATTGTGGTAGATGGCGTTGTGGCCATCACAAATCTAGCAAATCGTCGTCATCGTCCCATCCGCCTTTTCGACGGCTAATAATAATTTTTTCTTCCTCCTTATTCTCGGCTACGGCATTCAGCAAATCCTTTAGTTGGTCCTCTGTAACTTTTGACCTTAGCTGCCCACTTCGTGCGAGCATGATCAATCTGTTCTCGATATCGGTAGCGCGGGATTCCTTCACCATGCGAATACGATTCAGGCGGTCCGCAGCTTCGGGGAGGAGGATTTGGGAGAGGATGGCTTGACGGGCATCGGCTGCAGGTCGTGTTAGACAGTACTGTGGAACCGGGTGTCTCCAAGCGCGGTTTCAAACGTCGAGAGGGGAGGTTTTAAATGGGAGCTCAACCAAGTTACCTTCTTGTTGCCTTTTAAACGTCGCGTCAGTTATGAACAATGCGGGGAGCACTGGAGGTGATACCTCACCTTTGCTGGTCTTCAGGGTTGGCACCCCCGGAACCCCCGTGTTGCTGTTGCAACTGTGCAAGCCGCGCTCTTCTGATCTACCGCAGCATTCACTTGTAAGTTTGAGATCAATCCAATGCGCCCACGCGTCGTTAGTTACCTCTTCAAGTTCTGCGTCCGCCATGGTGGACAGCGTTGTGCTCCAGCAACCTTCACCAAGGGAAACGATGTTGCAGAGTGAAACTTTTGATTTGCTTGATCAAACAATCGATCTGCTGGACAGTTATGCTTGGTTGATAATGCTTGTTAGCTTCGAAAATCACTAACTAATATAATGCTGGGCGAGCTGCTGAAGATTGACCCCGCAGTCACGGTTTGCTTGTTAGCGCAGCGGGTCGGTGGTTCGAGATGGCTCCCAACCCTGTCACAAATTGGCAAACAATTGTCAATAACACAATGCTCTTTGATCATCCAGCATTCAATTCTCACTGATAGAACGGTCAATGCCCACCAGCTCTCTTCCGCGCCGCAAGCTCAAGGAGAGCCAATGCGGGCTATCCTTTACATAAGCAAGCAAGGTTGTTAGAACCACGCACGGGCTCTTAACGCGAGAATAAACGGCGGATGAGACCTGGTTTCACAGCCACTCAACCATGGGATGAGTCTGCAGGTTTCTCTGTAACCTTCCCACAGACTCCGAAGATTCGCTACTAGATCGCTGTTGTCCTGTCCTCACAGTCAACTAGTCCTTCAATTGTCCGTTCTCCTGCCAGCATAGCTGCATACTACTTCAACCACCTGCTCCATCCTCTGCTCCCATCAGGCGCAGCTCCACAATTGCCGCTGTTTGCAGCATTTGCCTGAGCTCCACATCGTCGAAGCACGCGCTTTGCCGAATCGGGCACCCTAGTCTTTGCCGTCAGCCGCCTGCTTTCCCTCGCTCTCTTCACTTCATCCTCGTTTGCCTCCCAATCTCCCCCTCCGACCGGCGACCACTCTGCCAGTTTCTCGACTTCTCCGCCCATTTTGTCGGAGGGAAGAGCAGGAAGAAGCCTTGTGCTCGCTGGCCAGACCCCTCCTGTTGGACAATTACCGACCATGGTCCGTCTTATTGGCTAACCCGCGAACCGCCGAAGTTCACGCCCAAGCCTCAAGCATACGCTCATTTCTAGCAAAACTGCCAGTCCGAACCAGCTTTGCAATCGCAAAGCGACAGTCATTCCTTTGTCATAGCAATCATGGCCGAGTACGTTATTTCCCCGTCTCCGGCTCAGGAACGGCCCAACATCCTCCATCATCGTCATCAAACTCACCTTCGGTAGATTAATATCCATCCGCGGGTGGCCTCACCCTTCCATTCGAACAGATTCCGCTTCACCCGAACGCACAGAGAAACGAGAAAACCGCTCGACCTCGAAACTTCGCGCTCTTACGGCCAGCAAGACCGTGTTCCGGGCCAAATCAGCCAACGCTTTATCTGACATGATGGGCGGGTCCAGAACACCAAAATACCTATCGATTGAATCCGATACCTCTCTCAACACGCTGCGCGACCCTAGGACTATGAGTACCACAGATCTATCTCGAACCGCTTCCTCCTCCCCAAGACATCCCGACTTGAGCAATGAAGTAGCAGCTTTGAGCGACAAGTTGATTCAAGCGATCAATAACCAGACCATTCTGGACGATACCCTCGCTGCAACCCGCCAGGAACTAGAATTGTCCCAGCAACGGAGTTACCAGCTCGAGGAGGAGAACAGGAAACATCGGGAAGAGATTGCTAGTGGTATATTGGTCAGACAGGACGTAATAGCGTCAGAGAAAGTGAACCTTTTAAGAGAGTTGGAGGAAGAGAGGGGTCGCAGAATAGCTGTTGAGAAGGAAAAGAAAGAGATCGAACAGGAATTAGCAGATTTGACTGCCGCTTTGTTCGAAGAGGCCAATAAGGTGTGTTCTTGATTCCTACCCCAACAGAGGCTGTATGTGCTTTGGCCTGTCTAACATAATCATAGATGGTGGCTGCTGCAAAGAAAGAGAGAGAAGCAGTTGAAAAACGAAATGAGCAATTGCAAACACAGATCAGAGACACAGAAACATTATTGGCATCGCATCAGGAACAGTTAGCAGAACTAAAGTCAGTGATGCAGCATATGAACAGCGATAGAGACGATAGTGACATTCGAACCGACCCTTCAACTGCTCCAACTTCACCAGCTGCAGTTCAGTCACAAGGCAATTTAAGCCGTTTACTTGAGGCCATGAATTTATCGCCGACTACCCCTGGCGCTGGCGATATCTCCCCGGCGCCTTCAACAAGCTTCTCTCACCTGATAAAATCAGTCTGCCGAACCGATATCCAGGCCTATGAGGATTTTCATACTCTGCTCCATCAATCTAAGAGCTCGAAACCGCCAAGTCGAGCCGTTAGTGGTTCCTATGCAGGATTGAATGTTATGGGATTCGCGAACTTAACTGGCAACTATACCGCTCCACAACATCAACATCGTTCAAGCGCACCCGCAACGTCCACGACAAGTTCTCCTTTGAACTCATCGCCGAATGGGAGCTCCGTTTCTTCTCGCTCATCTACATCATGTGCCTTACTAAAGGAATCAAAATTTTACAAAAGAGTAATAACAGAGGATGTCGAGCCTACTTTAAGATTAGATATTGCGCCGGGGATATCGTGGTTAACAAGACGCTCTGTTATAGGCAGTATTTGTGATGGGGGCTTGGTTATTGAACCTATACCGGCTATTGCCTTCAAGTACCCTCCGCCTTGCGCTCTCTGTGGTGAAAAGAGAAGCGGCGCTGAGCATGCGCGGACTCACCGCTTCCGGACATCCGACAATGACTCAGCGCAAAAACATCCACTCTGCATACTGTGCCTTGAAAAGATGAGGTCGAGCTGCGATTTCCTTGGGTATCTACGACTGATAGTTGAAGGCCACGTGCGCATCGGGGACGAGGAAGATGAAAAAGAGGCCTGGGAGGAAACAGTCCGCTTAAGGGAACGTATGTTTTGGTCGCGAATTGGGGGCGGTGTCGTGCCTGCATTCATTCGAACGGAACCCTCTGAGAAAGACCCGTCTATACGAAATCTCGATTCTCCCCTTCCGAAAAAGAGTTACGGCAGTTTGATGGGAGGTACTCCAGCAGATGGCTCGTCTAATCTCGAGGGAAATAACCCGATAGCAAGCGAAGAGTTGCCCGAAGACCCCTTCGTCTCCAACACGAACAGAGCATCGATCGGAGGCACTATAATTTCTCGAAAGGATACACAGGCAGAGAAAGCAGACGAACCCCCCCTGAACAGCGGTAGCTCCACGGAGGACGTCGACCCCCGCAAAACCGAAAACGGCCACAACGTTCAAAATATCGCTTCCATAGATCCCGAGGCTCCATCAAAATCCGATCCTGATATCCCACCAAAATCTCCTGTTGGGGCCGATGCTCCTGAGCCAAGGCTTAAAGTGACCATCCCGGCGGCTTTCAGATTCTAGACTGCGTCATTTTCCCTCAAACCTGATCGTTTCGGCCTCCGGATGCTGCAACCTCTGTGAGCTTGAAGTTCACTTTTCATTCGATTTTTCTTCCGACGCTGCGCGTCAAACTTTGTTAATCAGAGATTTAATATTACATCGGCGACGGGAAGGATAATTTCGTGATAAATGGTCGGAATACCTGGCCGCAAACGTTCGCCCTTTCGTTTTCATCTTTAGATTTGATTCTCTTTGTTTATTACCTTGAATTTCTCGATCTGATTCAGCTCGATGGCTCAATTGCACGCATGCAATAGCCTGAATATGCACATTTTCCCAACATAACCCCCGTCAGCATCATTCCCGACTCCCGCTCAGGTTATAATAATGTTAAGCGCAGATTTCGCGATTGTCTCCGCATTGCTATTATTGATACCTATCGAATTAGTTCCGTTACGGTTATAGGGCAAATTTTTTCCTATTGTTTCGTCTCGGGTTACGGAACGATATGGCGTTCAGGATTCGGGGTCATTTGCATATTCGTTCTTCTGCTCAGGGTAATTTGCATAACTCGCTTGGCCCTTGATTGAGCGCGAGAGAGCAAGGTTCAGATTGGACCTTTGTATATATATATTTACCCTACTTGCTCGTTGGTAGTGCAGTCCTTTGTTTTGTTGTTTTGCGGAAACATAATATGCACAGGTACGGAGTAGTCTTAAGCGTGACAAATTTTTGATGAAACTACTCCGTATTTTGCTGATCATTTCTTTGGAACCTTGGTGATTTCTATCGCTTTAAAAGGCGTGATTCCGTACTATATGAATCATGACTTTCAACCTCCTTCATAATGCATGAATACAGATGACTTGACACACGGAACTCGAAATGCAGCCCACAATATCTACGCACAATTCCTTGCTAATTAGACAATTCAGAATATATAGTCACCCCGTAACACCATCACCAGCCCAGATAACAGCAACAGGTTACGATAATCCATAATACCGTTTATTTTGGCCATGAGATGTATAAATTACATGTTTCACCAACCAAACCCCCGCTCATTGCTTGAACTTCTGATGGATATGCCTAATCTGCTCTTCGATATTAACAGGCTGCCCCGGTGGCGGTGGACCACCAACCCTCTGCTGCATTCCCGGCGGAACAGCCTGCGGCCCGGCACCGTACCCAGGGGCAGCTGGTATGGAGCCTGGCGCAGGTGCGGTCATTGGCATGGGCATGGGCATGGTCATCCCAGCAGTATCAACAGCGCCACTAACAGCAACTCTCTTCCGTCGAGCCTCTTCTTCAGGATCCAGGGCGGACCCATCCTGCTGTCCCGGCTGCCGGTTGTCAGGCGTGACGACTTGGTCGAACACGTCGCTTCGCTGGCTGGCTAGGCGCTTGAGATTGTTTGCAACGTCCACAGTGGATAGGTTGGTAGTTGCGTAGCGCGCTTCTGCCTTTGCGCGCTGTTCTTTCCAGCGTGGGTCGAGCAGCTCGATGCGCATGTGCTGTTCCATTTCTGCGATGGGGATTTGCTGTTTGCAGTTTGGACAGATGGAGGTGGGGACGGTGGCGGTGTTGAGACGTTTGGCTTGGGCGCGTGGGACGTAATCGGAGCGGATGCGCATAGGGGCTTGGCCGGGCACGGCTGGAGGGGGAGTAGGCACAGCACGGACTTCTTCAGGGATTGTGGTGGCAACAGGGACGGGTGGGATGGGCGTTGATATGGGGGTGGCCGCTTGAGGGGATATAAGCGAGGGCTGGGTGGGCATCGAAGGTGCATGATGAGTTGGGATGGGAGATGGCGAGGGTACGTATGGGGGTTGAGGAACGGGAATGTGTGATGGTTGAGGGTAGGCGTTGTAATAATTTGCCGTCTCATCTTCCGTGGGCAAGGCTTCTTCAATGCGTCTGTTTGCTGGTGCCAGAGATATCATAGCCTTTTGTTCCAGGGAGGCGGTTTGGAGATCGTGCAGCGAGGTAGGCGGTGGAAGTTCAGTGTGATCATCAGCGTCTGTAAACAGCACAGTTTCGACAACCACGAAATCATGCCAGTCAATTTCAGCATACGCCATCCTTTCTTGCTCCTCCTCCTCTTCCTTCTTTTGTTTTTGTTGCTCTTGGTATTTCACCCATTCCGCCCGACGCTTCGCCCGGTCAAGGATATGATACTTATTCTTCACGTTCCTTTCTAATTCAGCGATGCGTTCCTTTTCCGCATTGGCGCTATCAGCGCCATTTACCTGAAGCAGCTCCGCATACTGATCTACCAGCCTGGTGAAAAACTGATAGAGACTGTGTTGTGGACGTAAGAAATCGAATTGGTAATTCCGCGTTTCACGTTGCGATAGCGCTGTCATGAATGATTTTCCTCGCTTGGCGACAAACAGGGCCGTCAGCTTGACTACCTCAAGATCCAAGGCATTTATGTTCGGCATACGCGCAGAAAAATGGAATTCTGGGGGCGCCTCGGGCCCCTTGGGCTTCTCTTCCTCGGGTTGTGATACCGGCTCGGCCGCCCTTCCAGAAGATACCGCTGTGCCCCTGCCAGCTTTGATCTCATTGAGTCGCCAATTGTAAAAAGCGGCATAAGGATCGCCGGGGTTTAAGAAGGAGAATTTTGGATTGTTGCTTTCCTTTTCACGAACTCGATCTGGCGGCACGAGGTTAGAGAGCTGTGCTTAGACGCGCAGCTAGTTTGGGCGGAGAGACCAACCTTCAAAAACGAATCCATTTCGCGCGACGAATCCTGCGGTTTTCTCAACGATTGCTGATCGAATGTCAGCTACTACTCAACAGATGAAAGCTCTCCGTTGAAAGCCTGTGTGTCGCTACTTACTTCTGATGTCTTTTGGTGGCAAAACAACTCCTTCTGGAGGCTTGCTCACTTCCTCTGGGAGATCCACAGGGGTAGGAGTTCCATTTGCTGCAGAAAGCGCCATTTTGTTCAGCCCTCACAGTCCGCGATTCGAGCTGTTTTGCGTCTGCGGCCTCTGAATGCGAAAGTTGATATTGCGGCTCGATTTCGGACTTTCACGTGGTCCAAGGGCGGCTTACCTAATCCAACATCTCGCGCTTCGGCCAGCTTCCCCTTTTCGGCCAAGGCCAGCTTAAGCAAGCCTCATCCAACAGAAGACACGAATTCCCTCAGGCCAGTTCGACATCTCGGTGGTTGCCCTTCGCCCTTCCTCTCATTCTTGTTGCGGTGTCTTTCTTGTTGACTTCGGACTCTCGTTAACCTCTCTTTTCGTTGCCTCCTCTTCCGTTTCAACTTCCGCGGTCCCCCACAATTTACTTCTACAAATGTTTTCATATGATTTTTGATTCTTTTCACGCACATAATAGTATCTAATCCTTCATAATGCCGCCAAAGTCTGCGAAGGCTGGGCTGGAGACCAACCCTCCCGCCCGGCGGAGCAGCCGGTCTCCTGGCCGCTCCCCCGGTCCTAAGAATCGACGCAAAGCCGCGTCGAAAGTGTCCGACTACACCTCTGAGGGCGTGCGGGACAGTGACATTTTCAATCTGCCCAAATCCGACTATAAGATAGTGCTCCTCATTACAGCAATTGCAACTGTGGTACGGTTGTTCAAGATCTATCAGCCGAGCAGCGTTGTATTCGATGAAGTCCAGTTCGTCTCTCCATGCTCTCTCCCATACTTTCAGTTCCTCTACTTACAAACTACTCTCTTTGTAGCTTTGGCGGATTTGCGACGAAGTACATCAAAGGGAAATTCTTCATGGATGTCCATCCACCGCTGGCAAAGTTACTGATTACACTTGCTGGCTACCTTGGTGGGTTTCGCGGCGACTTCGACTTCAAGGAGATTGGCAAAGACTATATCGAGCCTGGAGTTCCTTATGTTGCAATGCGGATGTTACCGGCGATTATGGGTGTTTTGTCCGTCCCTACAATGTTCTTCACCCTCAAAGGTTCTGGTTGTCGGACTGTGACGGCTGCACTTGGAGCTCTTCTTGTAACATTCGGTAAGCCTGCGTCTCTATCAACGTATAATTGCGAATTGCCATTGACTTATGGTATAGAAAACGGGTTGGCTACCCAATCTCGTTATATCCTCCTTGACTCGCCGTTGGTCATTTTCACTGCCTTGACGGCTCTTTCATTTACATGTTTTACAAACCAGCACGAGCAAGGACCTTCAAAGGCGTTCGGACCGTCATGGTGGTTTTGGCTCGCTGCTACTGGCGTTTGTCTGGGCGCTACCGTGAGTGTCAAATGGGTGGGCTTATTTACGATTGCGTGGGTTGGAAGCTTGACTGTGCTTCAGCTCTGGGTTCTCCTAGGAGATACGAGGACCGTTACTCTCGTAAGTACCTGTTGTATTAAGGAGCATAGGAGATGATGACACTAAAACTCCCTGCTAGGATATCTGGATCAAGCACTTCGCTGCGCGGGCATTTTGCCTAATAGGCATTCCTATTGTCTTCTATCTTACGATGTTTGCCATTCACTTTATCTGTCTAGTAAATCCTGGAGAAGGTGATGGCTTTATGTCTTCAGAATTCAGGCAACCCTCAACTCCAAAGGAATGAAGGATGTCCCTGCTGATATTGCGTTCGGCGCTCGCATCTCACTCCGACATCACAACACCCAAGGCGGGTACCTACATTCCCACAGCCACATGTATCCCACCGGAAGCAAGCAACAACAAATCACCCTTTATCCTCACAAAGATGAAAACAATGTCTGGATATTCGAAAATCAAACGCAACCTCTCGGGCCTTATGGTCAAGTGCAAGGCCCGAAGGCATGGGATAATCTCACAACTACCTTTATTGAAGATGGTGCTACCCTGAAACTTTACCATTTGACTACAGATCGAAGACTCCACTCTCACGACCATAGGCCCCCGGTGACCGAAGCTGACTGGCAGAACGAAGTTTCCGCTTACGGTTATGAGGGCTTCCCTGGCGATGCCAACGATCTATTCCGTGTCGAGATTGTTAAATCCCTGTCAAAAGGAACAGAAGCTAAAAAGCGTCTCAGAACCATCGAAACCAAGTTTAAGCTCGTTCATGTCATGAGTGGTTGCGTCTTATTCTCGCATCCTGTAAAGCTTCCTGACTGGGGGTTTGAGCAGCAGGAAGTGACTTGCGCCAAAGGCGGCTCTCTCCCTAACAGCATTTGGTATGTTGAGCATAATGAGCACCCGATGCTGGGATCGGATGTGGAAAAGGTTAACTATAGACGTCCGGGCTTCTTTGCCAAGTTCTGGGAGCTTCAGCGGGTTATGTGGAAGACGAACGCTGGCTTGGTGGAATCCCACGCTTGGGACTCGCGGCCTAACTCCTGGCCACTTCTGCTACGCGGTATCAATTTCTGGGGCAAAAACCACCGCCAAGTTTATCTCATTGGGAACCCCCTTATCTGGTGGGCATCCACTGGTGCAATCGTGATCTATGTGGCCTTCAAAGGTCTTGCGGTCCTCCGATGGCAACGAGGCTTCGGTGATTATCGCAACGTCAATTTCAAACGCTTTGATTACGAGATCGGCCAGACAGTCTTGGCTTGGGCTTTCCATTATTTCCCCTTCTACCTAATGGCCCGTCAGCTTTTCCTGCATCACTATTTCCCTGCGCTATATTTTGCGATTTTGGCATTTTGCCAAATTTTCGACTTTGCTGCCAACCGTGTCACCTTATGCGGCTCGAAGAAGAATGCTGTCGTTGGCAATGTCTTCTTCGTTTTATTCTTGGTTGCAAGTGTTGCAGTTTTCGCGATATTCTCCCCACTGGCTTATGGCAACCCATGGACCCAAGATGCTTGCCGTAAGGTTAAGTTGTTGAGTTCATGGGATTTCGATTGCAATACATTCTATACAGACGTAAGTCCCCCGAAGTGGCAGCCTCCCCCCCGTGGTGCGAGACAATAATCAAATAAGTACTGAACTTGGTTAGTTGGCCCAATACTCAAATGCTGTGACCCCCAGCTCATCTCAGCCAGCGGCATCGGTAACACCTGCAAAGGTACCTGAGCAAAAGCTAGCTCCCCCACAAGTGAAGCAACAGGAAGCACCACAAGTCAAACAAAACGAGCCGGAGGAGAAACCTATGGAAGAAGCTGAGGTTACACTGCCTTCGGGCCAGAAAATCCTTGGTAGGGAAGAATCTATCGAATACCGTGACCAAGATGGGAATCTTTTGGATGCGGAACAAGTTGCGTCGTTAGCGAAAGCCGGCAATGTGTCGTTTAAAACCAGGTACGAGACACGCACAAGGGTGGTAGATGCCCAGGGACGTGAAGTTCAACAGAACCTCGCGCCACCGCATCCTGATGTCGAGGGACAGAATCTTGAGACCGTCGGAAAGGAAGATCAACAGGTTCCAGGAGACAAACCTGCATCGGTAGCCGGCGATGAAAAGTCTGTACAACGAGAGGATCAGAAGCCGAAGCCAGCCAGCGAGGGAAAGGAGGCGACCAGAAATGCGGATGAATTGTAATGTGTTTTGGATATGTTAATTTCAGTTTGACGGTTGACGGTGCTATTATATGAACAGAGAACGCTTAATTTGAATCTGCTGTTGTTACTTGGGTTCGTATCTTTGTTGTAAATATGTCGGAAGATGTACAAATCTCCAAATCAATCGTCCATCAATGAAATCAATTAAAGTCAAGGAAATTATATCAAATGATCGGTGCACCCAAAAGTTACATATGATTTTTATTTACACAAGGTTTGCGATTGTATCAAAGGGAACTCGGTGTTCAACTTCTGCGTTTGAAGTGGTAGAATACAGAAGATCTAATAATCCTTTCCATACTTGTTGAACCGATCGTGCAAGTCCTATAACAAACATAACATCATTAGGGTCACTGACACATCTCAGATTGCGAAACCAACCGGCATACCTTTGGCAATGTGACGTTTGGAATGACGACTTCGTTCAAAGCACTGGGGGCGGACTTGAGGGGCTGGTTCTTATCACCATGTGGGTGGTACTGATATTTGAAATGTCCCTGGGTTTCAGCCTTCTCATCATCAACCTCCCAAGGCATAGCACTCTCGCCAATGCGAATGTTGCTCTCGGAGGTGACAGTGGTGGGCGATCTTCCAAAGTACCATCCAGCAAGGCCGAAGGCTCCGGCCATGACACCGAGGAGGAGCTGGATGAAAGCGTTTGTACGTTAGACAACTAGCTCAAAGCAGAAAGACTGCCTCAAAGGGACTGCTCAAAAGGCACATACGTAGAGCTCGGGATCTCTCTTCGGTCCCTTGACCAGCCCAGCTTCTTCCGTTCGGGAGGAGTACTGTCGAAGCGGTTGGGCTCGCATGGTTCTAAGGGGTTGTCTGATGAGGGCCCGGCGGGCCACATTCGCAGCAATGGACGACATGTCGGTTTGAGAATATACAATTGCGATGGAGACGGGCAATTGGGTGTTGTTTGGAGAGCGTAACTTGGCTGTTGGTCGGTTCAGGCGCAAGAAGTGGTGGGTTTATTTGGATCGTGATGTTCCGGCCTGCACGTGACTTGATGTGCTGGCTGAGTCAGCAACCGCGCTTTGTGCCTGAAAAAGGGAGGAATGCAAGGGGAGCAAGACAGCGAGAGTGTGGAAAGAAAAGACGTTCACTTCGCCGACATGGAATGGGCTGCTTGACATCTTCTACCCATTGGGTTTGATCTCGACTGCTGTCTTATACTGTCGTCGGCTCCGGACTTGTCCTCGACGCACTCTACGCTCCCTGTCGCCCCGAGACCCCCTGGTTCTTTCGTCATTCCTCATCTCTGGAGCTGTGCCTGCTGGGATACGTTAACTTCATTATAACCCAATGAAGATGAATTCCGGCCTCTCGTTGAGAATATGAAACTACGATCACAATCGTTTAAGCTACTTAACTCCGAAGCAATCAATTTAGGTCGTCAACAATGGCTACCGCATCGAATCCTCAGTCCCCCACCGACCCCGATCCCCTTTCTCCTAACCTTAGTACCCGGCCCGTGTCATACATCTCCTCGCATATGACGGATATACCATCTGAAGATGGCGACCCCCGGCCTCAAAGTCCTCCCGCACGATCTCAAAGGTCTGCATCCCGTCGTGGGCGTTTGGCTAGGCATTCGATATCAGCCGCGTCGAACCATGGAAGTGGCCCCGCTCTCAGTGCTGGGAACCGAATAAGCAGAACACACGTTCCATCCCTAACTTCGCATGCCTTCTTTCGTCCGATGAGCTCCCAAAGGCTTCAGATGCAACGCGCCGGGCGGCCTCCAACCGGAACGACGCAAGTTATGCCGAGTGAAGACGGTCAGAGCGATGTTGCTTCAAACCCAATTCGAAGGAGTCTGATATCCAATTCAGTGATACCTGGACTTAGCGGGCTGGATTATGACCTTCCACCGCCGTCCAGGGGAACAGAATTCACGGACCCAATGCTCCTCGACCGGGGAACTTCCACTGCAAGTCCCACAGGCAATACAACTGTAAGAAGCGGAGGGGATAGCGTTCGGCTTCTACATGATCGGTCTCGTGGAATGGCTCCAACTCATCTGAATCTAAACAGCATTCATAAACAAAGCGGAAACGCGGACCCTCCTCAGCGATCACCTCTTTCGTTCCGCTCCGGCTTTCTCAAGGGAAACAAGAATGAGCAATCAGAGCGTCTTGATTCAAGAGGCCACGAAAGGCTGTCATCGGCTGCTTCCTCTCCGGCTTCAAACGGCTTAAAGCCTGACAAACCAACATTTACAAACGACCTTGGGCAAAATTACGAATACTTTACTGGAAACACGATTTTCTTCTGGGGCGGCCGCTTTCAAAATGCTCGCGATCGGCCTGTGAACATAGCAACAGGGATATTTGTGGCATTGCCTGGAGCGTTATTCTTCGCTTATTCGTATGTCTTCTTCGCTCAAAGCACAGTGTTTCGCCTTGCTAAAAATAAATTTCAGGGCCCCATGGCTATGGCATAATATATCACCTGCCATCCCAATACTGTTCGCTTACGTCTTCTTCGTGTGTTTATCTTCATTTCTACATGCATCACTAGTAGACCCCGGAGTACGTTTCCCCTAGTTAAATCTGTGATGTCCACCGGGTGATATGATGGCATTCTAACTGACATTGCCTTGGCTAGATCTTTCCACGAAACTTGCATGTCTTCCCTCCCACCGATCCTGCCGAGGATCCTTTGATTCTTGGACCCCCAACAAATGATTGGGTCATGGTCAAACTCGCTACATCCGAGATGGCTGCTATGGATGTACCGGTCAAGTACTGCAGAACCTGTAATCTTTGGCGCCCTCCTCGGTGCTACCACTGCCGCACCTGTGACAACTGTATTGAAACGCTGGATCACCACTGTGTTTGGCTCAACAATTGCGTTGGACGCCGTAACTACCGATATTTTTTCGCATTCGTCAGCTCAGCTACAATCTGTGCGGCTTTTCTGCTGGGTGCCAGCTTAACGCACGTCCTTGTCTATCAGAGCCGCGAGGGAATCAGTTTCCGACAATCGATCGATAAGTGGAGGGTGCCATTTGCGATGGTCATTTATGCAGCAATTGCCCTTCCCTACCCGGCTGCCCTCTGGGGCTATCATCTCTTCTTGATGGGAAGAGGTGAGACAACAAGAGAATATCTGAACTCGCATAAATTTAGAAAGGCCGATCGTCACCGACCTTTCACTCAAGGAAACTTTTTCAAGAATTGGATTGCCATTCTTGGGAAACCTCGGTCCCCAAGCTATGTGGAGTTCAAGAAAGCATTTGTGGAAGGTGACCAGCGGTTTGCTACACATAAAGTGAAGCACCGGCGTCGTGATTTAGAAGCACAAACCGGAGATCTGGAGATGAACCGTGTAAAGGGTGCGCAGCCTACTTTTGAAGGCCCCAGAGGTAGAGGACCTCTACCTAATGCGCAACAGGCCGCTTGAGCCTACTTCTTTGTGTGTTGCTACCTAGTTTTATTTTCTTTTTCTCGTTCATGGGATCCTTTCGTCTCAAATGACATTCACTCCGCCGATATGATTCGCAAATATACCCCTTCTCGAGGAGCGTTTCTTTCTACGAAGTACTCACTCATACACCAGAAACTTTCTTAATGTTTAACATCGCACTCCCACACTCAAAAACGCTCGAGCTTTCTTTGTTTTATACTGGCGCTGTCAAGGCTCCTAGACTGTTAGTTTATTTCCTTCTGAACCTGTGATATGAACTTTGTACGAATCTACCCGGGGGTTGTTCTGATATTTCCCAATGTCCGGAAACGTATCAGTTGTTTAAGGGATGCTGGTGCGTTTGGCTTAAATCCAGTTCCTCGCGATTGCAGGACGAAGCGGTTTTGTACTCATAACTATCGTAGACGTTTGCTACGTACCTGGATAACTCTACGTTTAATGCTATACATCTCTCATTTCGGATATACTACCGATCTTGAGAGGAGGATTTGACTGATATGCGGCGATCCGCTGTCCGCGCCGTAAAACCCTTGCCCTTGTCCGTCTCTAGTTACAGTGATGGGGACGGTCTGTGAGCGTCACAACCCCAGCGAGAAAAGCCAGCTCCCCTCCTGTTCTCATCCGAGCATATCCCCTCTAAACTTTTCAATTTTTCGTTAGAGGCTCGAAAGAGTTCTACTCAACATCGTGGATGATTTCGCTATATTCCCCTTTCTGATTCTGACTTTCGTCTTTGCGTTTTGCCATTTGTCTAACTAGTTAGCTGAGCAAGGAGCCGCGTTCTTCAATTACCCCGTAGTTAAAACCAACAAAGATCAGCCACCTGCACTCCAGCCTTGTTCTTATATTTTACACGCGTCAAGAGATATTTCAAACACCGGGACACGCTTAGAGACAGATTTTGTCTCCATTGTTACATTTTTCAAGAACTTAGGACAACTATCAGAATGGCACGAGGCCCCATGGTCTCACGGTCTTCCACCGATACCTCTTCCACCGTGGATAGCGACACGACAATTGACGCGACTGTCCCCGTTCTTACCCCTGCCACGAGCGTATCCGAGCCGTCTACTCCGGCGGATTCTAAGGACGGTCATGAAGACCGCAAGAAAGAATCCGCCGCTTCACGACGCGTCACGCGTTCGTCATTGAGGACAATGGAGTTCGAAGGTATGAGCGATTGCACGGCGGAGAACGCGGCTGTTGGAGATGAAGTGATGTAGGCTAATTGAGAAATGCTAGAGAACGGATATACGGTCGATCAAGGGGATTTATCTTCTCGTTTTGTCCCTACCGGCGCGGAAGCGAAGGACACAAACCAGAAGGCTGAGGATGGTTGCCTTGATGGCTGCAAAGCAGGTGAAACTATGAGCGTTGCACCCTTATCTGACTGCTCCGGAGACATACGAGTGCCTTATGGCGAAGAGCCTACGAAAACAATGGAACACCATCCCGCTTCTCGCGGGGAAGCAGGAATATTGTCAGAATACAAAAACCCCAGAAGACGATCCACGCGCTTGACTGTACGCCAGGAAGGAAGAGAAGTGACGGTGAATGCTTCTTCGGCGCCCGGGAAACGGACATTTGACGCTATATCAAAAAACACGCACAAGATCAAGGAACTTGACCGGAGGGCAAGTTTACGACCTAGAGTGGAAAGCCAAAAGGACTCGGCTCCAGCTCCGCAGCCGCCTCCTGCTAAGAAACGACGTGTATCAGATGGTGACAAGCCCATTTCGCAGTCTTCCGCAACGGAACACACTCCCAGAGAGAATAGTTTGATCCGCCGGAAAAAGAAGCTCTGGCTTCGTCACGGGCTATATGCTGGACAGGAATATGTTGACCCTTCTGCCCCTAGTTCAAGGAAACGCAGAGCATATTCAAAAAAGGGAGAAGGCCAACAAGCGAACGTTTTTCCGCTTCCAATGTATGCCGGTGCTAGGCTCTTGGAAAACGGCCGGAGTTACAAGCTACCCTTTGATATTTTCTCTCCCTTGCCACATGGACAACCAAAACCAGATGAATGGCGGAAAGCCAATAAAAGTATGTGTTCATTCCCTACTCGACGATGTGACAGGAGACTAATGCGTTTGTAGATGTATTCGTCGGTGATGCGACATCAATATGGAAAGCCAATAAGATCAAGGAGCATTCGACGTGTACGTGCACTCCTGAAACAGGATGTGATGAAAATTGCCATAACCGATATATGTTCTATGAATGCGATGATACGAATTGCAAGCTTGGTCCAGAATTATGCCAAAATCGGCCGTTTAGTGAGCTACGGAGGCGCTCGAAAGCAGGGGGCAAATTCAACATCGGAGTTGAGGTTATCAAAACAGAAGATCGGGGCTACGGCGTCCGGAGCAATCGTGCTTTTAACCCGAATCAAATCATTGTTGAATACACAGGAGAGATCCTCACACAGGAAGAGTGCGAGCGGAGAATGAGGACAGTCTACAAGAAGAACGACGTATGCCGCCCTGATTTGTTGTTTCGGCGCAAAATATTGACTATTTCTAGTGCTACTATCTCATGTACTTCGACCAGAATATGGTCATCGATGCCACCCGTGGCTCGATTGCCCGCTTCATAAATCATTCCTGCGAACCCAATTGTAGGATGGAGAAGTGGACTGTTGCTGGAAAACCGCGTATGGCCCTTTTTGCAGGCGAAGATGGGATCATGACCGGAGAAGAACTGACATACGACTATAATTTTGAGTATGCAAGCCTTTCATATCTTCTGTTTCCAAGAACCAGGCTAATTGACTCGATAACAGTCCTTATTCTCAAAAGAACGTGCAGGAATGTCGATGTGGAGCTCCAACTTGCCGAGGAGTCTTAGGCCCAAGGCAGAAAGAGGCATTTAAAAATAAAGAGAAAGATAAGGGATCTAAGACACGCACGACTGGTTCGAAGCGCAAGTCTAGCAACGCTCCCGATAGGCAAGCTCGACGCAACAAGAAACAGAGACTCTCAGAGTCTACCTCCCCAAAGCCTGGAAGGGGAAATACGGTCTCAAAAACCCGTACAGCGCTCAAATCAGCGCAAAGCAATATAGTTCATGAGCCGGCAGCGAGAAAAGCCAGAAAAACGAGGACCGTCCAACCAATTCCGGTAAAGAAGCGCGGCGCTGCTCTCACGCGTGCCAAAATGCCTGCCAAACGTGGTCGAAAACCTGGTAAAGCGAGCCAGACACAAACACAAACCAACAGCCGGAAACTCAACATGCCTTCTAAGCCAAGGCTTAACTCGATTGCTGCGGCGCGTACTTCAAACAAAACTCCAGAGATAATGAAGAAATTCCTTGAAGCTGGAAAATCCGAACTGACTACAAAGGATAACCAGGCGCCTCGGAGACGGGGACGAAAGAGGAAAACGAATGCTGTCCCAGATTCAGGGAATATCTCAGTGAAAGAGCCGACTTTACGAAAGCGTGGTAGACCGAGGAAGTTGTGATGATATTTGAACTGATGTTGGTATAGGTTGGGCTTGTGACTGCGCATTTAGGAGCAGTGCCTTAGGGCGATCCGTTGCCGTACGGACTACTTGTTTTTACTTATATTTTTTAATCTGATTGATAACATATTCTCATGAGCATGTTCTGGAGGGTACACACCCCTTGAAAGCGTCTGGGCTTCTCCAACCCTGCCCAATTATATAGGCTTGTGAGATTATTCACTTTGATATTCTGGTCGATTTCACCAAAGGAGAGTTATTTTTTAGGAAAACAGGGTCTTCAGTTTCCAAAATAATAGGAAGGCAATCAACAATCTTCAAAGTTTCTACGCAATAACTATGGTTTACCGACCCGCTGGCATACCACCAACGCACATGACGTTTTGAAATTTGAAATTGAAGCTGGCATTGGCGAAAATATTCTTACACAATCCAAACAATAGAGGGAAATATCGTGAATCATTGCATAAAAGAGAGACGGTCCCAATTATCTAGCCAGTCATTGTCACATCCGCTTCCTCAACCTTTCCATCCTCCTTCTCGCGCTCCTGACTTGGCTTATCTTCCTCAAATGTTTGAGGGGGGTTGTCTAGACTAGCTTCCAAGCTTCCAAGGAGGTCTACTTCTCCGTCCTCAAACCGGACAGGTCCAGTATCCATCACGGATGAAGTACGTTCTCTTGAGGCCTGTAAAGGTTCAGTTGCCGGTGTACGCTCCTCTTCCATTGGTGTAGGTGCGACAATCGATGCAGGAGTGCGTTCGGCTTCCATAGACGGTGGCGGCGTATGCTGGGGTTTGTCTGAGGTTTTGTCTTCCTGTGACGGCGTAGGTGGTTTATCCGACGCCGATTCAACCTTTTGCTGGTTTTCAACCTCTTGTTCCGATATCTGCGGAGCTAGTTGCGTATCAATAGCTAGCTCAGATGGTGAAACCATATCGGAAGCTTCCGCTTTCTCCATGTCAGTGGAAAGTGTATGCAGGTTGCTACCAGCTGCGGCCGTTTCAGCACGTTCAGTGACCGCTTTTGAAAGCGGCAATTCCGGAGAGCTAGACTTATCAGGGGGATTCATTCCAGAGACGCCTTGCCTCTTGTCTTCTAGTTCTGGAGGCGCTGGTACGGCTTCTGATTTTGTTTGGGGTTTAGACTCGTCGCCGTATTCTTCTTCCTCTTCGCTTCCATCACCGTCATCTTCTTCGTCCTCCTCTTCATCACCAGCGGCATCCTTGCCTGGCTGGTCGGAACGTTGACTAGAAGAATCCTGGGCCTGTCCCGTCACTGCTTGTCCTGAACCTTCAGATGCATGGGATGGATCAGCACCGTCATGCGAAAACATGACTTTCTTCCGTTTCCCTTTGCTAAATCCCTTGGCCTTCCGTTTCGGCGGTGGATTTCGTTTTCGAACAACTGCGACCATACTACCTTCAGGTTCGGCAACAACAACTCCTTCCTGGTCGACTATCCCGACTCCCTCTACTACGGTTCCTGGCGCAGGAGCGGCGGAAACAATAGTAGCCTCGGGGTTTTCGGCAGTAATCTCAGCTTCATCTGCAATTTCTCCTTCCACCCTATGCCCTTCGGGTACCCATGCCTCATAGATGATTACACTCCCAGTTACCGCATCAACCTTCTTGAACTTCGTTTTCCTCATCTGTACTTGATTTCCCGCATTCGCAATCCCGGGTCCAGCGTTGGTGATCGCCGCCCCCGCCGCCCCATATAATGAGCGCAAACCAGGCCGCCTCTTAGCTAGAAACTCCGCCTCTGGAGGTTCGAGACGGCGGGGAATTGTAGACCATTTCACAGCTGTAAACGTTCGCTCATAATTCGTCGAGCCAACTGAATCTTCTCCCTTAGGTTCCTTCCCGTTTGTATCGGGATCCTTTCTGACGGCCTTGATGTAGGTACAGCCGGCACGGGCAGCACGGAGTAGCGATCGACTCAGTGGTGTCAGCAGCTGGCTATCTTTTGGCATTGGTAGCTCCGGTAGTGCATGCGAGCCTGCTGTACCTGTATCGAGTACTTCGACTTTGGGAGTCTGCGAAAAGGTGGTCCGCTGGCGGGACCAGCGGCGAACAGGCAATCCCTCAAAAACATCGTGGTCAATCTGGCCCGCTCTTGTTCGGTTAGGCGCATTTTCAGCAAGGGCTTGGGAGCGAGTACGTGAGGATCGGAACTATTTGATAAATTCTGTGAGTTAGCTGGTATATTCTATAAGCTCATTGAAACCTAGTGGCGCTTGCAACCTGGAAGGCGCCGCTGGAACAGCGCATGGCATTCACTGTAACAAAAGTTGTCGGGAAAGGGCAGTGACTAGAAACCCAGGACAATCAGAGTCCTCCATTTCAACTTACGGGAACCATTGTATATCAGAGACAACTCTGGTTGCTTGCCTGAAATGTTTGTCTCCCAGGCCCTAAAACACCCGTGCCACTGAATTGCTTTTCAGTCTATGTTCTTCAATTGTAGTATATGGCACAAATCAATGGCTTGATTGATTGAAAAAGAGTGAAAACGCCATCCCCATTACCGCAGGACGCGCAGGCTGGGAGATCAAGCGCGTTTTGGAGCTTGCGCTCTGGGGTTCTTATCAAATGTGTCACGTGATGGGCGTGCTTGCAAGATGCCCGGGTGCTGGAATGCGAAGAAGGGATTTCCGCCCCCAGTGAGCAGCAATAGGACGACAGGCCAGATTCAAAGCTCATGGGGTGCTATTTAGATGCTCCTTGCTATGCTAGACCGCGGTAACAATTTGAACAAGTAACCATAACATACAAAACACACAAAGAGAATCTATTCTACATCGTTGGGAGAATCAATCCCTTAAGCGCATTCGGCGCATTGATTTTGTCCGTCATCGAATACATCAACTTCAACTCGCCCTGCAGCTGGTGTTAGCAAGAGTCCCCCCAAACAGCTGTGATAGATACATACGCAGAGTCCTTTTGTCGTACTATACCTCCTTCGGAGCCTGTTTCTCTGCCCTATATTACACCGTCAGAATCTATCTCGTGCAGTGCTTCCAACAGCCAAGGCGAATAACAAACTCACCGACTCCTGTCCCTCTACAACTAGTCGGTCTAATTGGTAGAACTGGCTAATAACCGTTTGTCTCTATTCGGGATATATTAGATCACCATCAACATCAAGGTCTAGCTTCCCCTCGAACCGCAAGTGAGGTCCGTGATACTTTTGAGGATGGACGGAGCCAGGAGGGTTGGTGTGCATGCTGACCTTCATCATTCGTAGATCATGTATACCCTTCTGGAGCAATTCCTGTACCGTACGTTCCTCCGTCTCATGCTGATGCTCTCTGAATGCATCCCGTGTTCTTCTCAACGCATATTCTCGGAAGTTGTAATTTGAAAATTGTTTGGATTGGCGAAGTAAGGATCGAAACTACAGAATTTCGAGGCAAAGGGTTAGCCATCAATATCGCCTGCGCGGATTTAGAGTAGGAGCAGAACTTGAAACAACGAAGTAGCAGCGTCATACCAGTGAGCGGGCTTGAAAAGCAGCGTCCCGCTGTAATCTAGCCACGGACATCACGACAGAGGCAATGAAAGTGTATCAATCTGCTCAAAAAGCAGCGGATGAAACTCCGGCCGGAATGTGGCTCTATGGCGTCTCTTGAGAGTCCGACGAGCCCTTAGGGTGGCACAAATGTGATGGGCGACAGCAACGATTTCGTGGGACGGGCTCCGTTTCACTTAGAGATGCTAGCTGATGCAAAATCTATTGTAGCAACAATATCCAGGATGACGCATGGAAACTCCGTGGAAGACGAGCGGCGATGATTTTTTAGCGTCGCTTTTGTCCGGAGATAAGAGAGCACGCTTTTGGGCAGCTCCACGAAGAAGAAAACGATTCAACGAACGGCTGTCAGAAATGAGAAGCAGATATTATGCACTTTGGGCGCTGAAAAATATCAACCGGCATTTGGATTTCTGATCGCCTTTCTCCCGCACCGTTTGGGGTCGTGGCTTGCAGCAGATCTCGTCCTGGGGTTGGCTTGGCTGCTGATGACAGCTCGCAACAACTGAACACACATTCTATATTCTATCAACATCTTTCCATCCCTCGTCTCCTTACAAGCTACTGGCTTCATTGAACTCTCGCCTGCTATCCTAAGATGAGCGAAGCACTTCCCTCACCGCCGGCCTCCCCAGCGCGCTCGACTACCCCCGAACAATCAGACACTATCCAGGCCATTGATGACCTGCTCGAACGGTATCTCTACCTCCTCGACGAGCATCAACGACTTCATCAAGAACTAGGAAATCACCTATCGGCTGTGAGCTTCAATTTTCCTTTTCTCTCCTAATCGTTGATTTCAGCACTAATTGTGTCTTTTTCAGGGCTTCATTTCGCTTGCACGCGCAAATCACTCCTGTCCGCCCGGCCGTCGATATGGTGAGGATTACTATGACGATCGAATGAAAGCGGTTAAAAAAGTGTATGTGCCCAAGGTTACTCCAATCTGCTTTGCAAGCACCGGAATTGAAGTTGAAACACAAGAACTTCCTTGCACGTCTTGCGCTTAACTGTCCAAAACAGGAACGAATCCACCACAGGCTACTCTAGTCGCCATTTCTTTTCCTAGTATCGCTCGTTCTCTCAGCTCCAAATTGCCCGATACGAAGGTCTTAGGAAAACCCCCTTCAAGCCTTGCGCCTAGTCGTTTCATGATCGTGCAAGACAAATCCAGCGACGACCTCAAGAACACAGCCAATGACAAAAATGCGGACCAAAATGAAGTCGAGAGCTCTGCCACGGCAGACCAAATGAAACCTACAAACAAGCATCCTCCAAACCCAATACACTGGTTTGGCATTCTTGTTCCCCCCGCTCTGCGAGCGGCGCAAAATTCGTTTACATCCGCTTTAGACGGGCCTCTTCCTACACTAGCGAACGTGATTACGGAAATGCACGAAGTGGAGCAGAAAATAAGCGACTTAAGAAAATTGGTGGCTATCAAGAGCTAATCGGAGGAAACCGAGGATAAATCCAACCTATCATCCTCCATTAAATCGTCTGCAAAATATTCACTGCAAGGCAGACCGGCTATGAACTTGCATTGTCAGGAAACAAGCTCGTATTATAATGAGATGATCCAAATATTTGATGAACAGGCCCTCAGCATTGCATGTACCTGAGCGACGGCCATGTTGTTTATTCCTCCACAAATTCTATCTGTGCTTGGCTAGTTTCAACACCTCTTGAACTTTAAGCACGGGGCCACAAATTGAAGCTGCAGGAACGGCCAAGTCTTGATTGCTTGTTCCTGGGAAAAATAAGTTGAGCCTTTGCCATCGGCCCATCGTCCGCCGAGCTTCCACGAGACCTTTTTTGCGGACTATTGAAATGTGAAGCATATTCCACCAATCGGTCCAGAAAGCAAAAGGCTGGAGCGGTCCATCCGCTTTTTCAACTTCGCTGCACAAGCCACTATTTCCAGAATCATTGTTGTTGGTTTTCGGCCACGGAAAATTACCGACCCATTTAACTCTTTTTGGGGCGAGTTAACGAGATATCCCATGTCAACGCAGAGCTGATTATTGAAGAGGCGCGCCACCATGTAGTTCGAATAAGGAACGGAGGACTGTGGAGATTGTACTGCTCGCCAGAGTATGAACAGAGCATTACAGATGTCAATCTAGCTTTCACGTTGAATTTGGTATATACACATGAGCATTTCGCCAGCTCTCTTCTTCCAATTCTGACTCCATAAGTGATTTTCTCACAGGGAACTTGGATTTCTTCTGAAAGTTGCGAAGTATTCGCAAACGACAAGCATGTTGCGACAGACCATCTTGTCACTTCTTGTCCTTACGACGTCGGTGCTTGCTACCTCTACCCCGTGCTCAGGACCTCGAGCTGAACCATTAGTCAATCCATCATTTGAAAACGGTTTAGATGGTTGGACTGCGAGTAGCGGCAGCATACTCTCTGGTGGTGCAGCTGAAGGAAACAAATACTTGTAAGTTATATTCTCAAGGCCTTCGTTCGATTTGTGTGGTTGACTAACTCTCATCTAGTCGCGCACTCTCCAATACCGCCAACGCCCATGCACAAATCCATCAATCCTTAAATGGCCTAGATACTTTTTTCCGTTATGATGTCTCCTTTCAATGGCGCCTATCTCGCGCAGCTTCCGGGGTTTTACCTAGTGTCTGTACCTTTTCGATGTTCGCTGGCAATCTCTTAATCGGAACCGACTCGTTAACCCTTGGCTTTGGAACAACATCCACACCTTGGGTACGTCGGGAGACTTCCTGGAGACCCGTTTCTCCGTCTACTACAATCTCAATCCGTGTATCCTGTTTGCTGAATCGTGGCACAAACATTCATGTGGATGATATCAGGGTTTTGGGACGGCCAACATGCCCAACAGAAACAACCACGACTATGGCCACGGAGACCACATCACTAACTGCCTCAGCAACAACTTCAACTGATTGCGAGTCAGAGACACTGTCTGAAACGACCACCACTATGACCACGGACACCACATCACTGACTGCCT